TCTCTCTCTCTCTCTCTCTTGTGCCGATCACAATGCTGAATGCAAGCCGTCGCTTTTGTTTTGGACGACACCTCGCTTGTGACCTCATCGTTCTCGCTTGACACAACGATCAGGGTCTGCGTATGCGATTGCGTTGCGCTTGAATCGCTTGCATTTGGGATTGGGCTAGGCGTAGAACTCTGCATCGCCCACCTTGAAGCTCGTGCTGTTGGGCAGGATCGACACGGGCACTGCGCATTCGACTGTCTCGAGCTTGGTCTCTGCCGCACAGCCCATTTGCTTGAGCCCCACTTTTGACTGTTCTCCCACCGAGCCGGCTAAGCTGTCTACGCCTCTGAGGCTGATGTGGTAGCGCGAGAATCCGTCTGCAGAGCCGGGCATCAAGTGCGGTGGAGGCTTTGCTTTTTCCTCGCCCGAGGTCGCAGAGATGGTGAGGAAGGCCAATTTGACGAGCCAGTTGAGCTTGACTCCACTAGTGACAAATTCGGGTGTTGCGCCACTTGGTACGGACAGGCTGAAGCTTGCCCTACCCTTATCCAGCACGCTCTCGTGGTGTTCTGCATGCACGATCCTCGTGGCTCGCTGAAGTCTTCCCGCTGGCAAGGTGGCAATACTGGGTTGAACTTCTTCGAATGTCTCGAGCGTAGCACTTATTCGAGCGATCCGTGCGAGCGAGGTGTGATTGTTGATGTTGATCACGCCCGTGATCGTTTCGCCCAACCGATACCTGGATCGAACCAGCGTAAGGACGGCGGCGACTTTGCCGTCTTTGGAAATGTCGTAAGACACTTTTCCCGACGACCGCGCCAACGCTTCGACCGCCGCCTTACAACCACTACCCTGGCTTGTCGGGGCCGAGATGGCCGAGTCGAGCTTGACAGTTGATGCCGATTCCGATTTGGTAAGCAGCTGCTTGACGTACGACTCCAATTCCTGGCGTTGGATTTGCGGAGCTTTGGTGGACCTTTTGGGCAGGCTGGGAGCTGATGGTGTAGCTGAGGCGTCGGTGTCGACTGCAGTGACGGAGGCCTCTTCCTTTGTGAGGATGACCGGGTTCATGAGGTCGAAAAAGGGGCGGAAGCCCGAAGCGCCAACGTGGTTGTAGACGCGGATGGGGACCTGGATGAGGCGGCTGGTGTGTGGACGGCCGCGTGTGGCAGTGGCGGCCGTGTCGAAGCGGTTGGTGCCGAGGGTGAGCGTGTACTTGAGCCGGATGGCCTTGCCGAGGTAAGAAGGCGGCAGATCGACTGGCAATCGCAGCTTGAACTCGAACGTCTTGGATTCGCCCGGAGGCAGGAGGAGGTCGACAGCGACGATGCTGGGTGGCGTGGAAAAGGTGGGAACGCTGCGGCTCTGAAGCGTACGTTCCTGAGCGTCCTGCAAAGTGGAGCCGGTGCGGCGATGTTGGTGCGGGCGACTGCTAAAGGAGCTGCGCAAGAGGTTGCTCCATCCCGAGCTTGGCGGAGAGGAATCGGCTGCCTGAGCGAGATGACCGCCACCAAGGGTCCTGGGGGTGCCGGGCACCGAGAGCGGAGAAGCACTTGCGCCGGTCAAGTCGCCGTATGCGAGCCTGTGTTTGAGATTCTCAAAGTCGCCGGGCTTGATGAGGCTCTCGTCGATCTCGATGGTGCCTGCCAGCTGGGCAAAGGACCAAAGGATTTTTTCGGTTCCGGGGGGCAAGGCTTCGGGAGGCGGGTATATTGGGCTGTGCGAAGGGCTCCTGGGGATGGAGGGCCGTCTGGATTGGGACCAGTCGGTTATGGACTCTCGGAAGACGCTCTCCATAGTATCGTTGCGACCGAGGCCGTAGAAGCTGGCGGCTTGGTTGGCGTCGCCGTTGCTGTTGGCGCGCCATGGAGAAGGCGGATGGGAAGTGGGGGAGGAGATGCCGGAGGTGGAGCGAGCCGGATCGAGCGAGTCGAGTTCGAAAGCCTCTGTGAGGTCCTCTGCCTGTAGCTGTGCGACCGACTTTTTGCGGGAATGCGAGTGGTTGGGAGCGATGGGAGCCGAGGTGGTCCTCTTGCCAAGGCCCGGCAGCGACGAGAGCCTGGAGGGTGGGTTTGGAGAAGATGGGTTGGAGTGTGTGGCAGGAGCAGGGGCAGGCGGAGCGGTTGGACGACCGAGGCCGAGGTCTGTGCCGTTCTTTTGTGGCAGTGCAGCTACCGACTTGGTTGAGCGATGCGAGGATGATTTTGTGGATGCGACGCGAGGCGAGACGGACCAAGGGTGGATGGCATTGGAGCTTGGGTGCGAAGGGGCAGCAGCCTTGCCTATGAGGTTCCTGCGATGTGGGAGGTCATCGATATCGAGATGGCGTGGGAGGTTGCTTCGCCGCGACGGGTCTTGAGGAGAGTCGGAGGCGGAGTCGGACTCGTGTTGTCGGCCGAGCGCCCTGACGTCGACGCTGCGAGATTTTGCATGTGTGGGGAGGGCGGAGACTACGCGGCGGGTGGCGGTGTCGTTGAGAAGTTGGCTGGACGCGGCAGGTGCGAACTCGCCTTGGACGAGGGGCTGCGTGTGTGCGACGCGCGGGTTGGTGTTAATGAAGGTGATCTGGCAGGTGAAGTCTTCGCCGGCGAAGAAGGAGGACTGGAGCGGACGGATGGAGACCTTGAGCGACGATGGAGGCGGGTAGTGACTGTGCGACATGTCGCAGGCGGTGCGCTGCGGAGTGCAAGATGGTGGTGGGGATCAACGAGGAGTGGGCGGACAGACAGGGTCCGCCGGGCGGCAGAGTCGAGCCGTGTGGCCAATGCACGACGAAACGCGGGTGCGAGTTTTGGCGAGACTGTCAGATCGAACGCGGTTAGCGCGGTGGGATTTCTCGAAAGCGACGCGGCTGCAGCGCTAAAACCACCGCATCGACGCGTCGCCATCGCTCACTCAGCAGCGCGGCCTCGGCCGCTCCTTCTCCACTTTTTGATGGCCAGTGGGGACTGTGCGAGGGCCGAGTGCGAGTGCGAGTGCGAGTGCGAGTG